AGGTTCTGGGTTTTGCGGCCTTTTTTTTTAAAAAAAAAATATTTGATTCCGAGTTGTCAGCGTTTTGGTAACATGCATTTATGACTATAAAATTAAGGGCACTTGGAAGCCTGCTTCCTTTCGTGACTCCCAGGTGGATATGTATTTTGCAGTTGGGAAGGTGCAGGAAAGCTCGGTGTCGTTCAATAAGGTATTTAACTGAGGGGCATCCAAGCAGAGATGTGCAGCAAGAACACATGGTGTGTTTTAGTGTTGCAGAAAAACAGTTCTAACAGTGAGTTCACTATGTCAAAACCATGACTGTTTCCTTGTTTGGAATTCCTGTATTTCCCTCCAGTTCATGCAGTGTTCAGAAAAGCATCAGCCAGGTAAAGTAACTCCCAAGTCGTTCTTGCAGGCCCTGACTTCAGCCAAAGGGCAGTGGTTCTCCATGAAACGGACTGATTCACATTTCATGGAGAACTGGTGCCCTGCTCCACTGATGCTGGGCACATCGTAACAGTGTGTTTCATACTGTTACGTAGGATATTCATATACATCTTGGAGATGGCAGTGCCTTGTGGAAGATGCACTGTAGTGATTAGAACTACATACTTCACCTGACCCTCAACTGTAAAGGCTACATTCATGTGAAAATTCTACAAATCTTTAACTAATGTAGCTGACGTTTAGTCTTATTCTTAGTTTTAATTAATATCAACCACCCTTTTCACTGAATATAAGGAACTTTGAGAAGTTAATCATATTGCTTTTACTAAATGTGAAATATTTTGTCTTGATACTGAAATAAATTAGTATTATTTACTCTCAGGATTTTTAATTTCAGTTTAATTTCTCTGCAATTAAAATCCTACAGCAAATACCTTCTCTATGGTGAGTTACTTGTAAATAAATGTAAATATTTTCCCCATTATGTTGCTTATAAATCCCTCAGAGTTATTTTAAGTACTTTGAGAGAGCTGTTTTTATTAACCTCCGTTAACTTCATGCCAACTGATACAAAAAAATAAGGACTAAATAGTTCTTTTCAAATATCAGAGGTTGCACTTTGGCAAGTAATATTTCTGTCTTGGGCATGTTCTTTTCTTTGGCTTATGGATTTTCATTGAGAAAAACAGCTTGCTTTTGCTGGAGAAACGAACGGCAGGCCTCTTAGTTACCTGTCACGTCCTGTTTGTTTAGCACGCAGGTTTGATGTGGGAATCCCAGTTGAAAAGCTGGGGAATTGGGTAGTGATTAGCTTTATCCCTAAATCCTTCTATGGAGTGAGCTTGGCAAATAGGGGACTGCAGGTTTAAAAATTATTTACTGGGGCAGGTAGCTTTGACAAAAGCTTAATGTAACGGGGCATGCCTGATATTGCAGTTTTAATGTTAAAAATGCTTAACCACACACTTAAGATTATTAAAGGCATAGAAGTTACTTAAGTCAAAGGAGAGCACAAAAGTGTTAAGCTACAGATGTGCAAACTTCACTAAATCCAATTTTTTCATAGCAATTTTTTTTCAGCGAAACATCTGAATGGAAAACAAGCCTGTCTTTTCTTAGCTGCAGGAGTTTTTCCTTGAAATCTGAAAAAAACAGTTCACTTCAAACCCAGAACTTCTTGCAAGTTTTTCTGCACCCTTATCAGGCTCCGTGTAATTTTCAAAGAATAGGTAAAACAGCTTTACAAATCACTTGTTCATCTGCCAGAAATACCTTCTGGAAGGTATTTTCCTACAGCTTAAAACTGAAACATATAATTAGCAGAACCACCCAGACTTTGGAATAACTTTTACCCATTATTCCAAAAATGCAATTAAATGCAATTTAAAAAGTATAACTTAAAATAAGTCATCATTTTTTTACCTGAAAGTGTTGTCATTTCATATTATTTTTCTTGCAGCACCTGCCAGTGTTCGTTGGGTCCATAATGACGTTGTGGTACCTGACTTCTCTGCCTATCGTCGTCAAGATGTACTGGATGCCACCACAAATTCCCAAGGCAGCAGTGAAGCTAGAAAAGGGTTTTCCTACCTGATGACTGCAACGACGTGTGTAGCAACTGCATACGCTGCTAAGAATGTTGTCACCCAGTTTATTTCCAGCCTGAGTGCCTCTGCTGATGTGCTAGCATTGTCAAAGATTGAGATCAAGTTATCTGACATTCCAGAAGGCAAGAACATGGCTTTCAAGTGGAGAGGGAAGCCCCTTTTTGTGCGTCACAGAACCCAGGCAGAGATTAATCAGGAAGCTGAAGTTGATTTGTCTAAACTGAGGGATCCACAGCATGACTTAGACAGAGTACAGAAACCAGAATGGGTCATACTTGTAGGTGTCTGTACTCACCTTGGTTGTGTACCCATTGCTAACTCTGGAGATTTTGGCGGTTATTACTGCCCTTGCCATGGCTCCCATTACGATGCCTCTGGCAGAATCAGGAAAGGTCCTGCTCCCTATAACCTTGAGGTTCCAACTTACCAGTTTCTTGGTGATGATGTAGTCATTGTTGGCTGAATAACGAGGTGCTTGCTCACTTTCATGTTCCTGTGAATGTACACGCAAAAGGGTTAAGTGAGATTCTGGAATACTGTAAAACCAGATGATCCTAAAAACATACTAGCCGTCTAGATTCTCAACCAGAAGTATGTTTGAGTACTTCCCTGTGTTCAGTTGTAATAAAAACTTGGAGTGAGCACTTTTTCCTGACTTGCAATAATGTGTATTTTATTTGTGTACAGACTTCTAGTGTGTCTAGTCAAAGAGACACCACAGCAGACCCAGAATATGTTTATGGAGCCCTCCTGAAGGGCTGCTGATTCCAGATAGACACTGAACTACAAAGCTATTGTTTCCTTCATAGCATATATTTTCATTATTTGCATTTTTTTTGTTGTTTTTACCGCATTATGGGAATGGAACATCTTCTAAAAAAGATTGCTGTGAACTTCTAACAGCATTTGGAGTAAGTTTCAGTATAGAATCCTATGAGATGTAATCCTTTTCCTTCCAATGTATTTCGTTTGTTTGTTTGTTTTCAAAGGGAGCGAAGGAAAAAGCAAATAAAAGCCTACCTAGAAAGAAAATTCTTTTACATTGTTCAGAGGCAGCTTGTAATCATATAGCTAGAATGGTAGCAATGTAATTTTATGATGATGCGAACAAAAATAAGCATGTCGTGTTAGAACTATAAAATAATCTTTTTACTTGCTTTATCTTATACATATCTAAACATCAGATCAGGCGCTTAGGACACTGGAAAATTTAGGATATTTTTCCAAAAGATGTAAGTTGAGAAAGAAGTAAAAAGGGAAATCCAAGTTTTACAGAGGGCGAAAAATAAATCGTAAGAACCACTCAGTCTGGACTAATCTTTAATATTAAACATAGCAAAAGGTTGAGATACCATCAGAGATATTTTAAGACTCAATGATTTCTGTGAAAATTCTAATTTCATATTGCTTCTAGGCAAAGCCCAATAAAGGCCAAGACTCTGAAACCTCCCTTACCTTGATGCTGACTCTGAAGGCATGGAGAAACAAATGCAGCCTGAAATAGATCTTTTAACTAGCATTGGTCCTGCCAGTACAAAACAAAACTAGCAATTAATTGCCTACAGTACACGAGGAGAAACAAGGTTTGCGGTTTCCAGAACAACCAAAAAAAACAAAACAGAAAGACACCAAAGTATCTTGTAGTTCCTGCTTGCCTCCCAGGCTTTAGGGCTGTTCTGTGAATGCTTCTGTCTTGCACTGCGTTAATGTGCTCCCTCCAGTTGCAAAGTAGAACATACGGTCCTCAGAATTCCCTGGATCTGGAAGGTTTAGCCTCACATATACCTCATGTAAAGCTGTGATGACAGTTGGGTTAAAGCTGAAGTTTTAAATAGGATTAATCAGAATATCGATGCAGTTGGCTCACCTATTCTCAGACAATTCGGTGACCACAGATGACTACTACAGAAGTTCTTAGGTATGCATCTTACACTGTTTCATAAATTTGAGCTTTACCCCTTATCACTATGTCCACAAAAACATTCTCAAGAACTTTCTCTGGTATAATGAATCATGCTAAACCAGTACTGAAAGAGATGTTCGCAAACTTGTATCTAAATAATTGGTATTCATGTATGTGCCTTGTATCATAGGGTTGGTCTTTCCCCAAATTTTCTATTTCAAGGAAAAAAGCCTAGTAAGTCCTGAAGTAGCATTAAAGCATTGCTCATCAGCTCTCAGGTCACTACTCTTAGCTCATCCTAAAAATGTTTTTTAGCCCACAGGTACATTATTTGGGCCTCGTCTTTGTTTACATAATAACTAAGTAACTGTAGTACCAGTAAATTTGCCCCCTGTAAAGCAAGGAATGACCAGGGCAGTTTCTGAGTTAACAAGTGAACACAGTGAAAACTAGAGTAGTTATATCACAGCTGGGCTTAAAGAGTCATGCATAAAATTACTTGCACAGAATAAGCTGTTATTTAAATTATATCAAACTGGACCAAATTTACCAGTTACAGCTAATGCAGCACCATGATATTGCACATGTTTGAGAACAAACTGGCAGCTTTTACTGTAAACATGAGATGCCAGCAATACCTTTTTTCACCAGACTGATGATGTAACAGCTGAAGAAGCTGAAGTATTGCTTATTAAGTAGTGCAGATCTGATAGTCTCCGTCCTCTCTTCAGTTCAAGGCTTTGTTCTCTTTATAGTGGCAAAAAGATCATTTCTAATGGGCCAAGCATGCCTTACAAAAGAGTCAGGATTTACTGGAATTTGAGAATTAAGGTGAAGAGTTAACAGCCTCAGATCTCCAAAACCACTCACAGTTTGCTACTGCACATACAGGCACAAAGTAAAAACCATGACATTTCATCTGAACGCATTAAAATACTTTTTTACTGTGAAAATTGTCAAACACTGGAATAAGTTGCCTGGAGAGGTTGTGGAGTATCCATGGAGACACTCACATCCAACTGAACAGAGTCCTGAGCAACCCTGCTTGTGCAAGGGGGCTGGATGAGATGGTCTCAAGAAGTATCTTCCAGCCTCAGCGACACTGATTTACAAGGAATAATGTGCAATTGTTGTATTGTCTTCTCTGGGACCAGAAACTCCAGAAGGACCAAACTCCCTAATGGGGAAGCGTGACTTGAGCAAGGGTAAACCTCCACGCAGTGATGTGCTGATTGCCAGTAACGAGCTCATAATTACCTTTGGGCTAAGATGTCCTTGGAAGGAGCTCTCACTACAGTTACAGGCATTACCACCATACAAATGGGTAATGTTACGCTTTTCATAGCTAGTGTACCCCAGGAGACTGGAAGTAGAAGTGTTCGAGAATGCAGAAAAATACCACTATATTTTATTACATTCTGAAGATTCATTGTATTCATAAGAAACAATGGCTTGCTGGGCTTTACTACGTCTCTGTATTTCTGCTTTGACCTCTTCCACTTCACTAATGGCCTTACCAGGGCTGTGTTCTTGATGTCAGATCCTTTTCACTTGAACTGTTTGCCAGTGAAAACAAAAATCCAACTCGGAGATTTCACCTAGCTAATAGGGCACCTTTCCCCTTCCAAAAATGTATGAAGCCCCACTTCTCTCTTCACAGCTGCGGTTTCCTCATACTTGTGTAAGACAATTCTGTGCTCTGTACAGTTTTCTTTTTGAGCAGCAGTATGAAGTCACGCTTTTCCCTGTGCCTTATACTGTCAGCCATATGATCGATCTGCTTTAGCTAGCCAGGCCAGCATCGTTCACTGCTGTTACTTGATGTGGTGGCAGGAGCTAAAAGCAAGGACAGTTTGATGCTGGTACAGGTTTGCCAGGCTGATCAGTGTTGGGGCCTGACGTTGTTCAGCAGCAAAGCTGTGAAGCGCAAGCCTATGCCAGAGAGAGGAGCTGCACTGCCTGCCTTTCATCTACGTGCCTCTTGGATGGGAAGCGGCAGAAGAAAGTATCTCTTTCTTCTCAGCAAGTTACTTTTTCTCCTTTAGAACAACAGCCATTAGGAAGTTGCTGAATGGAGTCTATGTTTATTTAATAAAAAAAAAGCTCTTCAGATAAGGGGAATAAAGATACTAAAATCAAAACATAATTTTTAATATTTGACATTTCAAAAGGTTTGTCTTTCCTTTTCTGTATCTTTAGAAGAGGGGTAATATTTTTAGTGGTTACTGCTGCCAAAGGAATAATTAGTGCAGAGACTCTAAATGAAAATTGAGAATATTAAGTCATTCTCACAGCTAATGACATGCGGGTTTTTAACCTTTCTGATTTGTTAGGTCCACTTGTCAGAAGTTAAGACAGTTTCCCACACAGCCTCAGTACCGTCATTAACGTATGTTCCTGCAAACCCAATGAGGCAGGGTTCTCAACTGTGCTGCTGTGCAACATGGCCTTTATCAAGGACACTCTTGCCACTGATCACCAAAAACATCTCTGTGAAGAAAGTCTATGAAGAGGGTTGCTAAGCAGTTCAGATATATCTGAGGAACACAATAGTCAGCTCCACAGTTAAAGGAGCGTTCAGCATCCAAGCAATACATTTCTCATGAATAGAAGTGACAAGTGACAGAACAATAATGACCCTTCTCCAGCCCTGAAAAAGGAGAAAGTAAATAATTTATAGACAGGAGGAGAGAGTTTAAAGCTACTGAAGGTTGAGTGTCCTCCATGGATAAGACTTTCTCAGCTACCTACAGATGATGTTTATTTTATGTGTTAATTGCTTTTATCCTCCACAGAGCTGGTAGCACTGTTCGTTATTCAAATGATTCAAATTCTAAGACGATTTTTGGTTATTTATGGTCTTGGGAAGCTCTGGCTGTGATCTGTATTAACTGTGCCAGATCTCCTGCTTTCAAGTAATTTCTTCTCCTTATGTTTCAGTAATAGTTTTGAAGAGATGGCTAAATGAAAAATACCTTTCATGTTAATAATGCAGGTGATCCTGTCTCTGAAGGACTTTAGCACTTCACGTCCATTAAAGTCTTGCAGTTTTGCCGACCAGTACACATTTTGCAATCACCATGAAAATCCAAATTTTCTCTCATCATAACCTTTTAAAAATATGCCATTTACACAGGTTCAGATCAAAACTATCCATTAATCTGGGGGCCTGGTTTGATACACCTAGAATCTGGTGGTGTTCGGGTTGGTTCCCCAGGCTATAGCACCTAATGTATTCAAAATAGAGTTCCCACAGATTCAGCTACCATTAAAAGCGCTTGACAGTCTGCAAATCATGATCTTATGTTAGAAGTCTGGAAGAGGAGAGAGAAACGTGATGACCACTTGCAAACAGCTAGGAACTGCAACATCACACAGGAACCACCGCAGATCCAGGGATAAACCTCACACCTCTGAAGTGTCATCTCAGAGCATCCTCCCTTCCCTTTCCTGCAAGCTGGGAATTCACCCCTATGCAACTACAGCAGCAAATGAAGAGGCAACAGCTTCCAAGGATCACTTATGTCCAAAAAACCACCAGTTAATTGCAAATGTAATGTCCTGCACTGGACAAATTATTTAGCATAATTATGACATTTTAAAAACTACTGTAACAATATCAATTATAATAGCTTTTATTCTTGCAGAAAATATTTAAGTGGGTCTTTTTTTTTAAAGGAAAATACAAGAGCTTTTAAAGCAGGGGAAACACATATTTGTGTTATTAGAAGGCTTTGTCATAAC